ATTCATTCAAGAGTCATTTAGTGAGTACCTCAGTGGGGAGTGCTGTGCACTGGGGATAAGATGAAGAGGCATGAGACTCCTGCCCTCAGGAGCTCTTATTCTAGGGAAAGGAGTAGATGGGGCAGGAAACAGGCTGTTGTCCCAGAGGGAGGGATTAAATGGAGGCATTGAGGGATAGTTCATGGAAAAGATGAGCCGGGATCCATGGCAGAGTTGGAGAGGCTAAAGGAAGAGGAGAGGTGATTTCTGGCAAAGAGTTCCATGGATGCAGGTGTGGTGTTGGAAATGCTCCACTTGGCAGCAGCAAGGGGAGTAGAACAGATTGGCTGGGGAAGCAGAAGGGGAGGCTGAAGAGTGCTGTTGAAGGCCAGGATAGTAGGTATCAGAACTTGGGCTCAGGACCTCGTGTCAGTGAATTTGTGGGAGGGTCTCTGTTGCCACTGCCTGCTGCTGGAGGGCAGAGTCTTTCTTGTTCGTCTTATATCCCTGGGGCCTGGCGGAGTGTCTGCCTGCAGTGGGCACTCAGTACATGTTTACTGACAGACTGAAGATGAGGACATTAGAATTCTGTCTTTTATGTTAAGTTAGAGGGTTCTAGTCCCTAAAGAATCTGAGTATGGATGAAATCCAGAGAAGCAAAGGATAAGTCAGATGCAACCAAAGCAGCGACAGGCCTGAGAAACGTTCTGTTGCCAGAGAGAAGGAGAAAACAAATGTGCAATTAACTTGATAGGACAGGCTCTGAGCATCACAGTGCCTACCGACTAGCTGATGTGGTTAAAACTTTACATCTGTTCCTCATATTTGACAGGAACAGATTTGAGAGCCACGGAGTCATTGTCTCTGCTTAATGTAGTTCAATTTCTGGGTGAAAAAGGGTTGACATCCTTCAAGTATGTGGCTAGAGCCATTGGGATACATTGGGATACATACATTATTCAGATACCCAAGGAAACTTCCTTTTGGGATTGTTAGATATCAGATTTGTTCCCCAAATTTATTACATGATATCCAAACCAATATTTAGAAATTTTCACTTCTTTCCAAGGGGAGTATCCCACAAATGTATAGTGGAATGCATTTGCTTTTATAGGGAGTAAAGTTTCAAAATGAGTAAATAAAATACATAAGCATGATGTACTTGAGAAATGAAAAATTGAGCGGAGCACCAATAAGAAGGAAAAGTGGTCTCTGAGGGGCTGATGTGGATAGTAAAGCAGTGAAGCAGAGTTTAACCATTTTGTGTTTTAATTGGTTGCTTTTTTCTGAAGTATGGTCTATTCAAAGTACAGTCAATCCTCATTTTTCAAAGATTCTGCATTTATGAAATCGCCTACTTGCTCAAATTTATTTGTAATCCCCAAATCAGTGCTCTTGGTGCTTTTATAGTCATTTGCAGGCATATGTAGAGCAGGGAAAATTTTGAGTCACCTGACACCCGTGTTTCCAACCGAGGTCCAAGGCCCCACTCTGTCTACTTGTTCTAGCTCTCACACTCTAAACGAGGGCCCTTTTCTTGGTCTTTTTAGTGCCACGTTTTTCACATTTTTGTGCTTCGTGTTGGTGATGTCACTGTTTAAAATGGCCCCCAAACATAGTGCTGTCTAGTGTTCCTAAGCGCAGGACATCTGTGATGTGCATTATGGAGAAAGTATGTGTGTTAGATAAGCTTTGTTCAGGCATGAGTTATAGTGCTGTTAGCCGTGAGTTCAATGTTAATGAATAAGCTATATATATTAAATAAGGTGTCTTTAAACAGAAACACACAAAAAGTAAAGTTTCATATTGACAGGAACTATGCTGTATTCCCCGAGGAGCAGTGGTTCAGGATCTGCCAATTCGTTGTTTTTGGCAACTTTATAGAACATTAACTACTTTGAATAATGAGAATTGACTGTATTTGTTTCCTATTCTTCTTCCTGGCCTCAACCTGGGCTTATATAGTTATTTTGTGTGTGTGTGTGTGTGTGTGTGTGTGTGTGTGTGTGTGTGTGTGTGGAGGGTCGGGATAACTTTTTATTTTGACAAAATTTCAAACTTACAGGAAACTTGCAAGAATAACATAATGAGGTTCTTTCTAGTGGAACTATAAGTGGGTTAATAGTGTCCCCTGCAAAATTCATGTCCAGCCGGAACTTCAGAATATGACCTTATTTGGAGATGGGTGTTGGAAGATGTAATGAGTTACTATGAAGTCATACTGCATTAGGGTGGGCCCTAAATCCAGTGACTGGTGTCCTTATGAGAAGAGGAGAGGACACACAGAGATACACACAGGAGAGAATACCATGTGATGATGGAGGTGGAGATTGGCGTGATGCAGCTACAAGCCAAGGAACGCCAAGGACTGCTTAGAGCCACCAGAAACTAGAAAGAGGCAAGGAAAGATTCTTCCCTAGAGCCCCCAGAGGGACTAACACGTTCATTTTTGGACTTGAAGCCTCTAGAATTGTGAGAATAAATTTGTTGTCTCAAGCCACTGAGTTTGTGGTAACTGGTTATGTCAAACCCTAGGAAACTAGTACAGTAACCCTTTATTCTGATTCACCAATTTGTTATTATTGGTCTCTCTGTCTGTTTCCCTTTCTCTACATGTGTATATCTAATTTTTTTCTGTACTATTTCAGAGGGATTGAGAGACATAGTGAACCTGTACCCCAGAATGTTTATTTCCTAGGTTAAGGACAGCTCTTACATAAGCATAGTATAATTACAAAACTAGGAAATTAAAAATTGATGAAATACTGTTATCTGATCAGTCGTATATGCTCAAATTTTATCAGTTGCCTAATAATGATCTGTTTTCCCTGGTCCAAGATTCAGTCCATGATCATATGTTCATTTTCTTTTCATGCCTCTTTAGCCCTGCATTAATCTGGGATAGTTCCTCAGACTTTCTTTTTGTTTCTTGACCTTGCCATTGTTGAGGTGTATAGGCCAGTTATTGTGGGCTTGTTTGATATTTTCTCTGTTTAGATTTAGGGTATGCATTTTTGGTAGTAATACAGTGGAGGTTGTCCTGTATTCTGGTTGTTGCCTCATATTAAGAAGCATTTGATGCTGGTTTACATCAACATTCATGACTTGATTAAGATGGTGTCTGACAGGTTTCTCCACTGTAAAGTTACTGTTTTTCCCTTTGGAATTAATAAGTAATTTGAGGGGAATCATTTTGTGATCATGTATATATCCTCTTCATCCTCAAACTTTTACCCACTAGTTTTAGCATTCATTGATAATTTTGTAAATCCATGATTTATTTATTTGTTTATATCAATGTAGACTTACAGTCTTGTTTTATTCAGTAGGTTATAATCCTTTACTGTCATTATTTATTTGATGCTGGAATGTCCCACATTTGGCCAGTGAGAGCCCCTTCATTCAGGCTCATGTGTCCTTTTTACATGTTCTCATTATTCCTTGGGCACTTTCTCACTCTCTGGCTCAAGATATTTCAGGCTCATTTTGTCCTTCCCTGTCCCATCCCTGGTATCACCCACTTGGTTAAAGAGCTGACCTGGGCTGATTTAATGTATTAAAGAGGTATTCTGGAGTTAAAAATGTGTGTGTGTGTGTGTGTGTGTGTGTGTGTGTGTGTGGACTCTGAGTAGGCCAAATGATATTTTCCAGTTTCTTTACTGTCCTAGATAACTAAGTGAGCTTTCTCAGAGCTGTCAGGTAACTGAATCCTGACAGGTGTCTGTGGAGGGTAGCACCTTCTTGAGGATAGATACCTCTTCCTCTTGCAGTCCTGCCCCACCATAGGAATTTCTGCATGAGAAGGAACATGCTTAGACCTGTTAAGTATTAAAATACCATCTATGTTATGGCTGAATTTATTTTTATGAATTTGTTCCCTTCTTCCTAGTTAAGAAAGTTTTCATGGTATATTTTAATCTTAATTTATTTTTTTAAACTACAATGGCACTGGATGAGGGATTTTATTTCTGATTTGGTGGTCAGCTCATAGTAGTTGACCTTAATTTGATTCCCAATGCAAATATAAAATTTTCCTTAAAATGCAAATTTAAAAACTTACAAAGTGAGTATTTGTCTGTCATAGACATTTAAAAAAACAAAATGGCTTGAGGAAAGAAGTCAGTGTTGTCACTGTTCCTGGATATAAACTCCTTGGCTCCTTTGGGTCTTCTAGGGTGGATCCCTTGCCCTTTCTATTTCTGGTGCATTCTCAGGCTGCCTGCTCCCCTTCCTGGTGAACACCAGATGTCTGTGCTCAGTCCTCCTTTGCTCCCTTGCTTCTCTCAGCTTCTTTCCTCTCAGATATGATACCATGCAGAACTTTGGAGTGTTCATTGTTTGTCCTCACACGCTTGTATTTTGGAGTTTGTTGTCTAGTTGTGTTGTCCACGTGCTTGTGGTTTTGCTATCTCGTGACTCTTTCTTTCTGTGGCGGTTCAGAGACGTTTAAAAACTCTGCCAGTCCTCTCTTGCCTTCTCACTTCCAGGATGACCAAGAAAAGAAGGAACAATGGTCATGCCTAAAAGGGCCACAGACATGTGCAGCCTGTTCGCTGCACAACTGTTCGCGACGTGTGCCCAAGGACAAGGCTGTTAAGAAATTCGTCATTTGGAACATAGTAGAGGCCGAAGCTTTCAGGGACATTTCTGAAGCCAGTGTTTTCGATGCGTGTGCACTTCCCAGACTGTATGTGAAAGTACATAACTGCACGAGTTGTGCCATTCACTGCAAGGTAGTCAGAAATCATTCTCAGAAAGTCTGGAAGGACTAAACATCGTGACCTTGTTTTAGATCTGGGGGTGCTGCCCCACAGCCTCCACCAAAGCCCATGTAAGGAGCTAAGTCCTTAAAGACTGAAGAAATACTGTTCTTTGAAAAGACAATAAAATGGAAATAATACTTAAAATAAAATAAAAGCTATGCTGCCACCGATGCCATTTCTGGGCTTCCACAGTGTTACTGTATATTTAGTGAAGTTGATTTCACTGGTTTTTTTTTTCTTTGAAAACCATTTCTACAGAGAAAAAGAAATTGGGATGTAGAATACCCATCCTTTCCAGGAGAGAGTCCACTGCAGTGCAGACGAGCAGGTCTCAGGACCGTGGGGGCAGAAGCTTCCCTCTCTGAAGCATGGCTCAGGTGTGGAGAAGGATTTCAGGAGACTCCTGAGACTCTGGTAAAGTCATAATATTTTTTTCCCTGAAATGCTGAAGGGCAAATCTGAGATTCCTGAGAGTTCAGGCCACTGTAATTATATTTCTTCAGAATTCCCTTCCTTATTTTCTTTCAGAACACTGTAATTGGTGTGTTACTTTTTTCTCCTCATCCTTGAATTCCTTAAAAATTGTGGCATAGCAGTATTCACCTCTTTCTGTCATGTAGAACCTTTGTACTTCTTTGTAAGTGAAGGATACATACTGAAAATGTTCTCAGAAGATGAAACTGTTGAGCATCCTTCTCTTTAAAAGAAGTATTTATGAAATGCTTACATATTTAGAATCTAATGGCAGCGAGATATTCTGGTTAATTTTGGTGTATGTGGTAACTTTGAAGTACTCAGCATAAGAAGGAGTACTCACCACTAAAGGTTAGACAGCTCAAGGTTAGATAGCTCTCTGTTTAGATTCTGGAAAAATACAAAAATGCACTGTAAGTATTTGCTTTGGGACTACTTGTTGGTAAATAAAGGAAAACAGAGGAATATGTTAAAGGGGTGTAGTGTAAGTTCTTGAATATTTTATGTAATATTGTTGGTTTTTAGCCCTTGTCACATAAACTGCTACATCATCACTAATTATCATTATTGTTGTCATTATCTGCCTGCAGTCATTAACAGCTGAAAAGAAGACTACTACAGAAAAACACCTTGAATTATCCTCTGGACCCAAGACAGGTAATATTTTGTTGATTTCTTGGCAGAAAAGGTATAAGGCTAATGTATCCTCCTTTGATTTATTTGCTTTCTTTTAAAAAGATGTTTACATAGTTTGGGTAGGCTATATATTCATGGTTAAGAAAACACCCAAACAATGTAAAAAGGTATTGTTTTGAAAAAATCTCTCATCTTTGTCACCATCCACCCCATTTTTTCTGTGTCATGTAGGTAATTATTAAAATTTTTTGTCTCTTTCCTGGGTTCACTGTTATCAACAGAGCCCAGTAGGCAAGCTCAGGTTCATAGCTCCAGGGTTTTAAAAAGAATAATAAGATCATAATAAAGTTATGATCTATGATATAAGGACTATACTACTTAGTCAATGAAATTCTTACTTGGCAAATTAGTTAGGGAAGGCTTTCAGTTACAGATAGTAGGAAGTTGTATTGGAGTGTTTGAAGAGATGGGTTGAATTTATCCCCTGCAACAAGAAGGACAGGGGGCCAGACTCATTTTGAGTTCTGCTGCCTTAGTGTAGGGTTTGTTTTTGCAGTTGTGAGGTAGAGGCTGAATTCTCCAGGCTCAATTCTCAGGAAAAGTATAGGCTTGGAGGATTTTCTCCAAATGAACTTTTCCTCTGAGAAGGAGTACTCTCCCTAGGACCTCTGCCTTGGCCAGAGCCTTTTACATAGGGTCACCTCCACTAAAGGGACATCAGTGAAATTAAGGATTTTTAAACATGTATGTTGCTGCTCAAAGAAAATTGGGATTTTGTTAGGAAGAAGAGGGAGTGGATATCAGGGAGGCCACTGGTTCTGCTGCTACACTCAGTTACCCTCTGGGCAGGAAGGATGAGGGCTTGAGACTTCAGGGATCTCATCTGACCCTGAAGTGGCCTGACTGTATCTTGAGTGTGGGGTCTTGAGATAGCAAGCTAAACATGCTGAGCCTCAGTTTCTGCATCTGGAAAATAGGCCTAAGAATTGTGTATCTCATTGCGTTATTGTGAGTTTAAAAAATAATAATAATCAAAATGCCTAGTTCAAAGGTTTACACTTAGTAGGTGCTTAATGGCAGCAATTGCTGTTGTGTTTGATGGCAGAGTGGGAGAGCCGCTCAGAGTCCTGTGGGGTGGGGAAGCTTTCTGTGAGTAAGAGACTCAACACTTTAAGCTGTATTATTACTTCACTAACATTTAAGGGGGTTCTTTTTATGCAATTGAAGAATAAAATTCCCCTAATCTTTTTGATTCATAAAATGCTGTATTATAAAATACCATAGTCTTCTGATGGCACTACAGAATTTAATTTTTAATATTATTAGTGCTCAATGTTGTGATTTTCAAAGATCAATTTAATTCTGATTTCTAAACTGTCATAATGTATGGAGAGAATAGTATAGTTGATCCTTGAATGACTGACATGGGGGGCTGGGGCGCTGACCCTCCACACAGTCAGAAATACGCCTGTAACTAACTTTACAGTCAGCTTTCCTTGTCCGCAGTTCTGCATCAGCGGATTCAACCTACTGCGGGTCATGCCGTACCGTAGTGCATATTTATCGAAAAAAATCTGTGTGTAAGTGGATCTGCGCAGGTCAAACCTGTGTTGTTCAAGGGTCAACTAACTATTTTCTTTTACAGATGTGGCTTCTATCTTTTTTTGGAGACTTAAAATTGGTGTAGTCAAATTTAACTTGGGGAGAGAGAAATATTAAATAAGCTGCTACCTTGTATTTAATTTCAAAAGGATCTTTTGAGATGATTTCCCATGCCAATATATTCAACCTAAAACCTACTCTGCTGTGCTCTCGATTCTGTGGAATGATCAGTAGATTCTCATGGGCTGAAAGAGCTTGTATCCATGTATAATTAATTTATTTACAGCATAAGCAGGTTGTTAAGAACAGAAAGTATTGTTAATAACTTAACAGAAGCTTACAAATAGAAATTGATAGAAAAGGGGACTCAAGGCATTTCCTAGAACTGGTTCATTTTAAAAACAGTAACTTCTAACATATTAGTTTAAGACAGGCTATTAACAAAACTTCTAGGATGCGGAAGTAATATTTTTATGAGAGCTGGGAAGCAGAAGTGGGGGAACATACTTTTGCAAAGTGTGCAAAAAAGGGGGAGTCTCCATTTCCTTGTTTCCGCATCTCTATTTCCTTACCTGTAAGGCACTGAGAACCAGAGAAGGAAAGGGGAGGAAATGGAGGAGAAGAGAAGGGGTGAGAGAAGTGAGCAAATGAATGTTGGCAAAGGATCTTGCCAGAAGGTTTGAGGGACGTGGAAGAAGATAAAAACTTGAAATGAAAGAGGCTGGAACCTTTGTAGTTAGTGATTTTCTTTAAAAGGCAAAACTTTAAAAAAGTGTATTTACCAAGCAAAATGAAACTATGTAATAAAAAGAAGATAGTGTTTATTTTTTTTCTTGAAATACCCTGCAAAATATGTTCTCAAAATATTTATTTGTTATGGAGTCAGAAATCTCCTTGAGAAGCATTAGTAAATTTTTATGTATGTATTTATTATTATTATTTAAAAAAATGTCTAGTCAGGTCTTCTGCCCATTTTTTAAAAAAATTCTTTTTTTTTTATTATTATATCTTTTTTTGGCTGCATCAGGTCTTAGTTGTGGCACGTGGGCTTCTCTGCAGTGTGGCGTGTGGGCTCTGTAGTTTGCGGCACGCAGGCTCTCTTATTGAGGTCCGCGAGCTCAGTGGTTGTGACACGTGGGTTTAGTTGGCCCACGGCATGTGGGAATCTTAGTTCCCCAGCCAGGGATCAAACCTGCATCCCCTGCATTGGAAGGCAGATTCTTTACCACTGAACCACCAGGGAAGTCCCGCATTAGTAAATTTTTAAATTATTATTTCTTGATGTGCTTTTCTCCCTGTTGGACCATAGATTTTTTCAGGGCAGACCCTCCTCTATTGCTCATCTTTATATCCTAGGTGGCTAGGGCTAGGATATGGCTAGGGCTGCCATAATAAAATGCTACAAACTGGGTGTGTTTGTTTGTTTGTTGGGTTTTTTTTTTTGCAGTACGCGGGCCTCTCACTGTTGTGGCGTCTCCCGTTGCGGAGCACAGGCTCCGGATGCACAGGCTCAGCGGCAATGGCTCACGGGCCCAGCCGCTCCGCGGCATGTGGGATCTTTCCGGACTGGGGAACGAACCCGTGTCCCCTGCATCGGCAGGCGGACTCTCAACCACTGCGCCACCAGGGAAGCCCCAAACTGGGTGTTTTTAACAACAAAAACTTCTTATCTTGCAGTTGTGGAGGCTAGAAGTCTAAAGTGAAGGTATTGGCAGGGTTGCTTCCTTCTAGGATGTGCTCCAGGCTTCTTTCCTTGACTTGTAGGTGGCTGTCTTCTCCAAGTGTCTCTTTACTGTGTTTTCGCTCTCTGCATGTATGGTTCTGTGTTCAAATTTCTCCTTTTTGCAAGGACAGGTGTCATATTAGATTAGGGCCCACACTAATAATATCGCTTTAGACCCTATCTTCAAATAAGTTCACATTCTTAGATGCTGGGGGTTAGAATTTTAACATATGAATGAGTTTTGGGGGGACACAATTCAGCCTATAACACCAAGTCCTAGCATAGTGCCTAGCACACGTTGGTCACCCAGAAATGTTTATAAATACATGGTAACTACTCTCATAGTCTGGCTGATGTTGTTATGTTGTTCCTGGAATTTCGTTGGAATGAGCCTTGATTTCAAGGGCAACCCCTTTTTAGCAAGTAAAATGAATTACTGAGTAATAAATTCCTGGTAGAGGTTAACTATATAAATTATACAGTTAGGTGCCTATAATTTATAGGTTTATGAATTTGTTATATAATCTGAAAATAGTGATACCTTCCTGTCTTACTCCATTCAGGCTCTTATTGTATATAAGAAAAATACTGTAGACTGGGTGGCTTATAAACAAAAGAAATTTATTTCTCACAGTTCTGGGGGCGGAAAGTCAGGACATTGATTTAGTGTCTGGCGAGGACTCGCTTCCTGGTTCATAGCACCTCCCTGCTGCATCCTCATAGGGTAGAAGAGGCTGGGGATCTCTCTGGGGCTTCTTTTGTAGGGCACTAATTCCATTCATGAGGGCTCCACCCTCATGATCTAATTACCCCCTAAAGGCCACACCTCTTAATACCATAACACTGGGATTTGGCTTCAATATGTGAGTTTTAGGGGAACACAAACATTCAGTCTGTAGCATTCTACTTTTTCTTTTTTGATTTACTTGTCCAGATGCATAATAATGAAAAAGATTGATAATGTCTTTGGCAAGTAAGTACACAGCTTAGTTTTATTAGCTCTTTAAATCAATATGAGTTCTTAGGTTATTGTGAATAGTTTGTATTTAATTTTTTATTTTGAAGGATAGACAACTTTAGTAATTCTAGATGTTCATGGAACAAAGTAAGTGTTCAGTAAGTGTTTACTATTATTTCATGTTTTTGTGCCTTTGTAAATGTTGATTTTCCAGACATCGTTGTGTCAGTGAATCTTCCTTTCCTGATCAACATAAAGTGGAGCATCCACCTTTTTGGCGCCATCATCATTATACTGTGACATATCTCTAATACAGTATTTAATTTTTCTTTTCATGATCAACTAGTGTTGCCTTTCAGATCATGCATTCCTTGAGGGCAGGAGTTTTCTTTCTTTTTTTTTTTTGTTTCCTCAAGGTTTACTATATCAGAGGTGTTATATAAATAGGTATTTAATGAAGTCATTTAACTTTTGAGCCTGTTTCCTCTTCTGTAAAACTCGAGTTATAATATCTAATCTCTAAACTTTATACTGTATTGAAATGTGACTAAGAGAGTTTTTTTTTTTTTTTGGTTTTAGCATTATAACTCACCTATCTACTCAATAGGAATAGAAAATTTTATTTTTATTAGATACCTATTCCTTTTCTGATCAAAATCAGTAAAATTTTCTGTTGGACTTCTGGTTCCATCGAGATAGAGTCGCCCTGTTCTTTCTAGGTTTCCTGTCTATCAGAATGGCTAAAATAAAATATAGTGACCACACCAAGTGCTGCTGCTGATGTGAAAAACTGGATCAGTCACACATTGCTGGTGGGACTATAAAATGGCACAGCCGCCCTGGAAAACAGTTCGGCAGTTCATTAACAAGACTAAACGCACAATTACCATACAGCCCAACAATTGCACCCTTAGACATTTATTCTGGAGAATGAAAGTTACAGTCACATAAAATGCTGTACACAGTGTTCATAGTGGCTTCATTTGTCATAGCCCCAAACTGGAAACAACCCAGATGTCCTTCAAGGGTAACTGATTAAACAAGCTGTGGTTCATCCACACCACAGAACACTGCTCAGTAATAAAAGGAAAGTGACTGGTGATACACACAACAGCCTGGTGAATGTCCAGGGAATAATGCTGAGCACAAAAAGCCAGTCCTAAAAGGTAACACAGGTGATTCCATTTATATATTATTCTTGAAATGACAAAATTATAGAAGTGCAAAACTGCCTTGTGGTTGCTAGGGATTGGGAATTGAGGTGGGGAGGGGAGTTATCCTCACAGGGATGGCAGTGTAAGATATCCTCACAGGGATGGAGTTCTCTATCTTGACTATCAGTATCGACATTCTGTGTTGTACTGTGGTTTTCATAATGTTACCATTGGAGGGATTGGGTGAAGCATACACGGGCCCTCTCTGTTATTTCTGACAGCTGTATGTGAACCAACTATTACCTCAAAATAAGTTTAATTAATTAAAATAGTTTGCTGTTAAGTATTTTAAGCAAACTGCTGTTACCAGGGCTCCTAGTATGGCAAAGGAAGCACACAGAAGCATTCTGATTACAGATAATTATTGGTGTGGTTTGTTTTGTGGTTTTTTTTTTTTTTTTTTTTTTTTTTTTTTTTGCGGTATGTGGGCCTCTCACTGTTGTGACCTCTCCCGTTGCGGAGCACAGGCTCCGGACGCGCAGGCTCAGCGGCCATGGCTCACGGGCCCAGCCGCTCCGCGGCATGTGGGATCTTCCTGGACCGGGGCATGAACCCGTGTCCCCTGCATCGGCAGGTGGACTCTCAACCACTGTGCCACTAGGGAAGCCCTGTTTTGTGTTTCCTTATGGCTTGATGAAATATTCTACGAAGTTTTATAGTTTGGTAATTATTCGAAGGTTATTTTTGAGTTTTCATTTGTGCTCCAGTCATTTTCCTTGTCTTTTATGACTTTTCTCAATCATTTTGACTTCTTTTTCTTCTTGTAATTTGGCTTTAATTCAAAGAATCTTAGCCAGGTTGTACATAGACCTTCAGTTTGGAAGATTTGAAATGACATTGCTTTCACTATCAGCAGAATATTGTATATTTGTGACTTCAGCAAAGTAACATGTATAAAACTTCATTTTGATCAATAACTGTATCAATTGGCCATTTTTATATTTTCCCTTTTTCTTTTGCAGAACCTACCACATCTAAGAGTACCAGTGGGCTTACAGCTATAACATGGAGTTCCAGTGGAAGTGATCTGTCAGATGAAGATAAAACAATTTTGAAATCACAGAGAGAGAATGGACATGGTTCTAGAATAGGCAGGTTTTATAGCAGGAATATTTTCTCTCCAGAAGATGGGGCCAGTGAAGGTAAATTGATAATTTTGTAAGAAATTTAGTTTCTGTTATAGATTAGATTTTAATAATGGAAGAAACTTACACTCATTTTCTAATATTGATACTTAGCATTTTTAAAAATATTACTGAGTCGCAGCCTCCCAGCCTTTTAGAAACATTTTCTCATAATATTTATCACAATAACTCTAAGAGATAAGTATTACCAGTATTATTTTTACAGTTAACAACTTAAGCTTGAACATGTTAGAACTGGTTGGATTCCACTTTGGGTCTCTTTGACCAAGCCAGTTCTCTGAAGTACAGGTACATGTTAGAGATATTGCAGGTTTGGTTCCCGACCACCGCAATAAAGTGAAAGTTGCAGCAAACCGAGTCACATGAATGTTTGGGTTCGCAGTGCACATACAAGTTATATTTACGTACTACTGTAGTCTATTAAGTGTGCAGCAGCATTATATCTAAAAAGAAATACACGTACCCTAATTAAAAGGCACTTTATTGCAGAAAAAATGCTAACCATCATCGGAGCCTTCATTCAGCAAGTCGTGTATTTTTGCTGGTGGAGGATCTCGCTTCAGTGTTGATGGCTACTCACTGAAGGCTGGGGTTGGTGTGGCAGTTTCTTGAAATGAGGCAACAATGAAGTTTGCTGCATCGATCGACTCTTTCTTTCATAAACGATTTCTCTGGAGCTTGCTATGCTGCTCGATAGCATTTTAGCCACAGGAGAACTTCTTTGAAAATTGAAGTCAGTCCTCTCAAACCTTGCTGCTGGCTTTATCAACTAAGTTTTTGTAATGTTCTAAATCCTTTGTTGCCATTTCAACAGTCTTCACAGCCTCTTCACCAGGAGTAGATTCCATCTCAAGAAATCACTTTCTTTGCAGATCCATAAGCAGCAGCTCCTCACCTGTTAAGAGTTTTATCCTGAGCTTGCAGCAATTCAGTCACATCTTCAGGCTCCACTTCTAGTTCTACTTCTCTTGTTATTTTCACCACATCTGCAGTCCTTCCTCCACTGAAGTCTTGAACCCCTCAAAGTCATCCATGAGGGTCAGAATCCACTTCTTCCAAACTCCTGTTACTGTGGACATTTTGACCTCTTCCCACTGAATGAATCACAGGTGTTGTTTTTTTTTTTTTGCGGTACGCAGGCCTCTCACTGTTGTGGCCTCTCCTGTTGCGGAGCACAGGCTCTGGATGCGCAGGCTCAGCGGCCATGGCTCACGGGCCTAGCTGCTCCGCGGTATGTGGGATCTTCCCCGACCGGGGCACGAACCTGTGTCCCCTGCATCGGCAGGCGGACTTTCAACCACTGCGCCACCAGGGAAGCCCCACAGATGTTCTTAATGGCATCTAGAATGGAGAATCCTTTTCAGAAGGTTTTCAGGTGACTTTGCCCAGATCCATCAGAGGAATCACTGTCAATAGCAGCTATAGCCTTGCAAAATGAACTTCTTAAATAATAAGACTAGAAAGTTAAAATTATTCCTTGATCCATGGGCTGCAGAGTGGATGTTGTGTTAGCAGGCATGAAAACAACATTCATTCCATTGTACACCATCTTCATCAGAGCTCTTGGGTGACCAGGTGCATTGTCGATGAATATTAATATTTTGAGAGGAATCATTTTTCCTGAGGAGTAGGTCTCAACAGTGGACTTAAAATATTCAGTAAACTATGTTGTAAACAGATGTGCTGTCATCCAGACTTTGTTCTGTTTATAGAGCACAGGCAGAGTAGATTTAGCATAATTCTTAAGCGCCTTAGGATTTTCAGAATGGTCGATGCGCATTGGCTTAACTTCAAGTCACCAGCTGTTTTAGCCCGTAACAAGACAGTCAGCCTGTCCTTTGTAGCTTTGAAGCCAGGCACTGATTTCTCCTCTTTAGCTGTGAATGTCCTAGATGGCATCTTCTTCTAGTAGAAGGCTGTTTCATCTGCATTAAAAATCTGTTATTTAGTGTAACCACCGTCATGAATTATCTTTGCTAGATCATCTGGATGACCTGGTGCAGCCTCTACATCAACAGTCACTGCTTGACCTTGCACTTTTATGTCATGGAGATGACTTCTCTCCTTAAGCCTCATGAACCAACCTCTGCTAGCTTTAAACTTTTCTTCTGCACCTTCCTCACCTGTATCAGCCTTCATAGAATTGAGGAGAGTTAGGACCTTGCTCTGGATTAGGCTTTGGCTTAAGGGAATGTTGTTTCTGGTTTGATCTTCTATCCAGACCATTAAAACTTTCTCCATATCAACAATAATGCTGGAGAAACTCTAGAAGAATACAAAAACAACTAACAGAAGTAGTTACCTGAGAATTGGGGTAGGGGTAAGAGTTGGGAGAAATGGGATGTTTATAGATAAGAGTAGGAGTATACTTTCTGCTGTCTTTTAATATATTTTAAAACTGTTGAACAACATGGATCTTTTACAGCTATAGAGGAAGAATAGATTTCAAACACATTAAAGATATTTAAAATTAAAATTGTATTTTTTAGATGATCTCCAGGTTATTGACTGGGAGATTGACAGTGACAGGGAAGATACATGTGATGAATTTGAAGACTGTGAGAGTGTGGTGGAAATATCTGACCGTGCTTCTTGTACAAGCAGTCGTTCTTTGACACCTCCAGAGATGCTGCTTGAACTTCCTAAGGTAAGAACGAATTGTTTCCAACTTTCCATTCTGTCTATGGCATTTGTTAGTCACAGCCTTTGGTATTTTGTTTGAAACTCCTTCCTCAGGGACTACCACTTTTGACTCTGTGGATTATTTTGTTCTTTACCTCCTTTTCTCTAAATAACATGCTTGTAATGTGCTTTTTAAAAAATATATATATTTATTTTACTTTTGGCTGCCTTGGGTCTTAGTTGCGGCCTGTGAGATCTTTTGTTGTGGTGCACCGGCTTCTCTCTAGTTGTGGCACATGGGCTCCAGAGTGCATGGGCTCTGTAGTTGTGGTGAGCAGGCTCACTAGTTGCGGCTCGTGGACTTTAGTTGCCCCGCGGCATATGGGATCTTAGTTCCCTGACCAGGGATCAAACCCGTGTCCCCTGCATTGGAAGGCAGATTGCTAACCATTGGACCACCAGGGAAGTCCCTGTAATGTGCTTTTAAACGTGGATAAATACTGAGTACTTTTCTCCTCACCCACTCTCGCCTCTGCTACACGTGGGACTTTCCCATCCCTCTGTTCCCCCAGGACAGATGTCTCATGGTCTGGTTACATTAGATTCAGCATTATGCAATTCTGAATAATAATATTCATAACAAGACAACTATTAATTGTGATTTTCCTTCCCACCTTTTCGTTTTTGTTGGAGTTAATCATTTGGGTTTTTGTTTGCCTAATTTTACTTATCATGAATAAAACTCTTAATTTTACTTATCATGAATAAAACTCTGATTTTTCACCATTGTTCAGTTCTCCCATTAAGATTTTCACACATAGCAGGCATTCTACTAGTTCTTTAAAAAAAAGTTTAAAAAATATTTTATTGAAGTATAGTTGATTTACAGTGTTGTGTTAATTTCTGCTGTATAGTAAAGTGATTCAGTTATATGTATTCTTTTTCATGTTCTTTTCCATTATGGTTTATCACAAGATACTGAATAGAGTTCCCTGTGCTCTACGGTAGGACCTTGTTGTTTATCCATCCTATATGTAATAGTTTGCACCTGCTAATCCCAACCTCCCAATCCTTCCCTCCCCCACCCCTCCCCCTTGGCAACCACAGGTCTGTCCTCTATGTTTGTGAGTCTGTTTCTGTTTTGTAGATATGTTGATTTGTGTCATAGTTCGGATTCCACCTATAAGTGATATCATATGGTATTTGTCTTTGTCTGACCTACTTCACTTAGCATGATAATCTCTAGGTCCATCCATGTAGCTGCAAATGGCATTATTTCATTCTTTCTTACGGCTGAGTAGTATTCCATTGTAATTATATACCACATCTTCTTTATCCTTTCAGCATTCTATTCGTTTTGTTTTTATGGAGAACTGTTTCCCACAACCTCCTAGCCGCTCTAATTTCAACTCAGAGTCCTCTGTGCTTTGTGAATGTAGCCACCCTTGAGTCACCCTTCACCGTCTTTTGGGGGAATTCCCTTCACCTCGCTCCTGCATGGAGCAACTTTATCCTGGACTCCTCTTTCTTGGTTGTTACTCTCATTTTGATTGAGCACATCTTCCACTAGCTTCCAAGAAAGGATTGATGGAAGATAATTTTTTGAGACTTGTCATGTCAGAAGATGCATTCATCACACTTTAATGTGTGATTGAAAATTTATATAGAATTTTAGGTTGGAAATTATTTTTCTTTAGAATTTTGAAGGCATTGCTTCATTGTCTTCTAGTTCCAGAGTTGCTATCAAGAAGCCTGAAGCTCTTCTCACTCTTGATCTTTTAAGTTTTTCTTATTCCTTGTTTTAAACTGTTTGATTGTGATATGCCTATAGGTGTGGTTTTCTGCTTGGAGTTCATCAAGCTTCTTGGATCTGTGGTTTGTCTGGGATCCCCAGGCTCACTTCTGGGTTCAGTGATTTGCTAGGAAGACACTCAGAACTTAGCATACAGTCATACTCACAGCTATGATTTATTACAGTGAAAAGATACAAAAGTAAAATCAGCACTCTTCCAAGAGTCTTTTTCCAGTGGCGTCATACAGGGGATGCTTAACTGCTCCAGCAGAGAGTTTTGACAGTATATGTGCAGTGTTGTCTGCCGGGGGTGCTCATCGGTGACTCAGTGCCAACGGTTTTTATCAGGGGAGCTCTCTGCCTAACATGCGCCAGAATTTCAGTTTTCAGGATGGAAAACAGGTATTCAACATAAGCCATATTGTTTGCACAGGTTAGGCACAGGGAGATACTCTTATCATTGGGGAATGGTGGGAATCATCCTGAAATCTAAGTTCCCAGAGGTAGGCAAGGACCAACATTGTAAGCGGGGCTTTCTAGGGATACCTGTCTCGGGTCTGCTAAGTTAACTCTCCTCTTCACATGGGTTCAAAGGTTTCATCACATTTGGAGGGTTTTTTGCCTTTATTCAACACTTTTTTTTCTGACTCCCTTTTCCTTTCCTTCTGTGACTCAAATTATACGTATGTTATTTAGGCTCCTTGATATCGCATCATGTATTATCGACACTGTGCTCATTTTTTCCCCTCTCTGTTTCATTTTGAGTGGTTTCTATTGCTATACCTTCAAGTTTGATAATCTTTTCTTCCTGTAGTGTCTAATCTGCTGTTAATACTATCCAGTGTATTTGTCAGCTCTAAAAGTTTGATATGTCATTTTATCTTGTCCATGTCTCTCCTTAACACGATCATACATTTGTCTGTGTTTTGAACATAAAGAGTATAATAGTTGTTTTAACGGCTTTTTCGGTAAATCTGTCATCTGTGTAATTTCTGTGTCTCTTTCTATTGATTGGTATTTCTTTTCATTATGGGTTGTATTTTTCTGCTTCTTTATTTACATGCCTGGAAATTTTTCAGTAGATACCAAATATTTTGAATTCTATGTTGTTGGGTGCCGGATTTTTAAAAAAAATTATTTTAATTTTGGCTTTGTTCTGTGGTGCAGTTACCTGGAAACAGTTTCATCCTTTTAGGTGTTGCTTTATGATTTATTAGGTGGGTCTGGGGAAGTACACAGTCTTATATTCCACTACTGAAGCAAGACCTTCCTGAGGTCTGTGTAATTCTCTGAATTATGGGTTTTTTCCAGTCAGGTTAACGGTTACGGATTCCTGACCCTGTGTGAATAGTGGGCACTGTTCTTCTAATACTTCCAAATGGTTCTTTCGCTGGTCTAGTGTTGTTTCTTTATATGCACATGCTGATCAGTACTCTTCTGTACACTTGAGGGGGATGATTGGGGTTCTCTGTGCAACTCTGGCTTTTCTGGTACTCTGTGCTATGAACTCTAGCTGCTTTTGTCTCCATGGACTCTCAGCTCTGTCTCTTCAACTCAGGGAGCTCACCAGGTTCCACCTCAGTTCTCCCTCCCTACTGCGTGGTTTGGAAATTCTCTCAAGAAAGTAAGCTGGGGCAATTAGAGAGCTCAGTTCGTTGTTTCCCAGCTTTCAGGGGTTAGTGTTCTTCTTGCCTGATGTCCCATGTCTTGAAAACCATTGTTTCAAGTATTTTGTCTCTTTTCTTTTCTTTTCTTTTTGATTGTTTCAGGCAGGAGGATAAATCCATTCCCTGTTATTCCATCATGGCCATCAACCTGATCTTTCCAGGCAGTCGAGCACATGAAAAGGTGCTCATCATCATTAGTCATTAGGGACATGCAAATCAAAACCATAATGAGATCTTACTATGTACCCATTAGTATGGCTGTTACCCATAAATGGGAAAAAAAGTGTTGAGGATGTGGAGAAATTGGAACCCTTGTGCACTACTGGTGGGAATGTAAAGTGATGCAGCCACTGTGGAAAACAGTTCGGTGGTTTCTCAAAAGTTAAAAATAGAATTACCATATGACCTAGTAATTTTGCTTCTGGACATATACCCAAAAGAATTGAAAGCAGGGACTCAGACACTTGTACATTGATGTTCATAGCAGCATTATTCACAATGGCCAAATGGTGGAAACAACCCAGATATCCATCAACAGATGAACGAATAAACAAAATGTGTGTGTATGTATATTGTCTACTAAAGAAATATTCACAGCATAAAAGTTGAGAGTTATGTTTTATTCGGCACGAATTTTTAGGACTTCAAGCCCGGGAGGCAGCATCTCAGGTAACCCTGAGAGAACTGCTCCGAGGAGGCGAGGGGGGGAGCCTGGTTATATCGGAGTTTTGCAACCAAGGGCAGGTGGTTAGAACGTCAAAAGATTATTTTTAATTAAAGTAAACTAGGCATCTCATGTAAAGGAATTTAACACTTTTCTATGTATGGGAAGATGAAAGAGTCTGGGCACACTGAAATCGTTCCTTTGATATATACCTCAGCTGTCTGGGGCCGGTATCCTGTGTTTTCATATCCTGAGTTCCCTCAGGGCTCACCACCTCACCGTAGGCTGGTGGCTGCAATCACTGATGACTGTGACATCCTTTGTTTACTGATATGCAGTCAGTATTCCATTTCTCAACATGTATGTATATTTTTGTATATATATCTACATATATGTATATGTATGTATATATGTATGTTACTGAACCAAACTTGGGTCCACTTGCCCACGTGTACTAAAGCCAATCTATTGACACTGGCTTGTGGTGAGGGAAAGTACAGTGTTTATTGCATGGCGCCCCAACATGGGGCTGAGCAAGGAGAACAGGTGGCTCATGCTCAAAAGACCCAGAGTCCCCAAAGGCTTTCGGGGAAAAGTTTTTAAAGACAGGGTGAGTGAGAGGGTTGCAGGGTGCCTGATCAGCTTGTGGACATTTTTCTGATTGGTTGGTGGTGAAGTAATCAGGAGTCACCATCATCAACCTTCTGGTTCCGTCCAGTCTGGGGCCTGTGTGCTTGTGGTCAGCATGCAGCTCACTTATTCCACCTCGTAGGGGTTTCATTGTCAGCAGAACAGGTCAAGGACATGGCTCAGCATGTTATCTATAGCTGATGCGGAAGAACTAAAGGCCCTTCACTTTGTTTAATGGCTAAACTATTATTATTTTATCTTGCCTGACTGTT